CTCCCTGTGCCTTTTAACGGGGAATGCCGGGGATCGACCCTGGGACACTCTGCATGCCAGGCAGAAGCTATGCCACCAGAGCCACTGCTCGCATGTCCCTCTTTCCCCCCTAAACGTGCAGGAGGGGACCGGGGGCGGCGAAGGTGCCGCCTTTGCGGACCCCTTCCTTCCTTCCTTCCTTCCCGCCCAGAGCGAGAAAGGAAGCGAAAGACGCGAAACGCTTTCGCGCCCGGGGAATCTTGATCCTCGCCGCAACCCGTCGGAAGCCCTTTGTCTCACCCGGAAGGAAAGGGAAGGCGGAAGTGGGGAGTTTGAAGCAGCAGCAACAGCTGGAAGGAGGCAGGTGAGTGGCGGTGTGGGTCCTTTTGTGTGTATGTGGGGGCGGCATGTCCCGCCCGCGGCCCCAGCGATGGGGCTGAGCTGAGCTGGAGCCTTTTGGGGGGCTGTTCCGGACCACCCCTTAGGCCATCGCCAGCCCTGGAGAGAAGCGGCTGCTGCTGCCTCTGCTCCTTCCCCCCTCCCCCGGGGGCTGTCTCGCCTCCGTCGTGGCGCGTGTATGTTCTTTTCGAAAAAACCGGTCGACGGTGCCCTCTGTGAGCAGTGTTCCCTCTCAGCTGAGTGAGTGTGAGCTAGCCCACAGTCTTTTAGCCTCCGGCTCACACATTTTCGTCTTTGCCCAGGAAGGAGGGCTCCAGAGCAAGCTGATCTATGCAGCAGCCAATTCCCTCGATCCCAGCTTTAATGCCAGCAGCTCACAAAGTATAATATTTGTTCACAAGACTCCACAGCTTAGAGGGAGCGTTGCCTGTGAGCAGTGTTCCCTCTAAGCTGAGTGTGAGCTAGCTCACAGTTTTTTAGCCTCCGGCTCACACATTTTTTGCCTTAGCTCAGGAAGGAGGGCTGAAGAGCAAACTGATTTTGCAGTAGACAAAGCACTCGCTCACAGCTTTAATGCCAGCAGCTCACAAAGTAGAATTTTTGCTCACAAGACTCCACAGCTTAGAGGGAGTATTGCCTGTGCAGTGTTCCCTCTAAGCTGAGTTACTGTGAGCTAGCCCACAGTTTTTTAGCCTTCGGCTCGCACACTTTTTGCCTTAGCTCAGGAAGGAGGGCTCCAGAGCAAACTGATCTATGCAGCAGCCAATTCCCTCGCTCACAGCTTTAATGCCAGTAGCTCACAAAGTAGAATTTTTGCTCACAAGACTCCACAGCTTAGAGGGAGCGTTGCCTGTGCAGTGTTCCCTCTAAGCTGAGTTAGTGTGAGTTAGCTCACAGTTTTTTAGCCTTCAGCTCACACATTTTTTTTGTCTTAGCTCAGGAAGGAGGGCTCCAGAGCAAACTAATTTATGCCACGGCCAACCCTAAGTGCAGGGTTAGAGGTTGTTAGGCAGAATCCAAATGCAATCAAGAATAGCACCCGAGACCGTTGGATTTTTATTTTATTTATTCTTTAAAAAAACAACAACATTATGTCATGCTTTTCCTCGTGGTTTAAGGCAGCTTACAATATGAAGGCTGGTAGACTCACAGTTGGATGGTTATAGGTGTCAGGGGAAGGGAGTTGCATACTGGGAAGAAGAAAGAAACAACAGAGGGTCATCTTATTTGAAGAAAAATAAGTCCAGCAAGGTCTAAATGTCACTCGTGCACCGCAACCCTAGAGTCGGATTCGACTGGCTTTCGAGCAAGGGAACCTTTACCTTATGGCCCCTTCCAACTCTGTGATTCTCTGATTCTGTGATTCACAATAGTGTGTATGTACGGTGGTGCCATCAATTCACAGCCAACTTAAGGTGACCCTGTAGGGTTTTTCAAGGCAAGAGATAAACAGCGGTGGTTTGCCGTTCCCCTCCTCTGTGTAGCAACCCTGGCCTGGACTTCCTCAGTGGTCTCCCAAGTACTAACCCAGGCCGACCCTGCTTAATCTCCAAGATCCAACCATGGTGGCCTGCCACTGCCTGACTCTGTGTAGCAACCCGGGATTTCCTTGGTGGTCTCCCGTCCAAGTGCTAACCAGGGCTGACCCTGCTCTGATGAGATTGGGCTACCTTGGGCTGTCCAGGTCAGGACTTCACAGTACTAGCAGTAGGTAACTAGCAGTAGGACTCTGGGGCAAGGGATGCTCTGTCTTCTTGGTGCTTGGGGTGGGGGCAACAGTGGGAGGGCTTCTGGAGTTCTGGCCCCACTGCTGGCCCTCCTGATGGCACCTGGTATTTCTGGCCACTGTGTGACACAGAGTGTTGGACTGGATGGGCCTTTGGCCTGATCCAACATTGTCGTCTCTTATGTCCTTATGTAATAACGCACTCGCCCTAGTTTTAGGATTCCTTGACTATGATTCATCATCACATCACTGTCTAACAAACTGGTCTGTTACCCACAGGAGCTCGTATTGGCACAGAAGTTGTTGATCTTTAAGGTGCTCCTAGATTTTTGTTTTATGTTACAGGTGCTAACTGGTTCAGCAAAACCAAGGAAATTGTGTTAAGCTGGTTGACCCCTGTAGTAGCCAAAGAAACCTAAAACTGGCTTGCATCTGTTATTATAAATGGTGTTAGCACTTTTGGTGTGAGCCAGTCTGGTGTCGTGGTTAAGTGCGCGGACTCTAATCTTGGAGAACCGGGTTTGATTCCCCACTCCTCCACTTGGACCTGGCTGGATGGCCTTGGGCAAGGCGTAGCTCTGATAAGAGCTGTTCTTGACAAAGAGCCGTTTCTGTCAGAGCTCTCTCAGTCCCACCCACCTCACAGGGTGTCTGTTGTGGGGAGGGGAAGGGAAAGGAGTTTGTAAGCCGCTCTGAGACACCTTTGGGTAGTGAAGGGCGGGGTATAAATCCAATATCTTATCTTTTTCTTCATAATTACACTTCATCCTGTTTTTCCTGTATTTCATAGGCTGATCAACCTGTTGTTTACAAAACCAACAACACGACTACTCGTTACAATATTATACGTTTGCCTGGCAAAGATACTTTGCATTGCTTCTGATGAAGCGGCCTGTAATCCCCGAAATCTTATTCTAGAATAAAAGCTTTAAAGTGTCACAAGATTACTTTGCAAAGGCTGTGATGAGTTGACTAACCCATGCCTGCTTCGGCAGTTTGTGCTGGACAGGTGATTGCAGAGGAAATAGATCAAATAAGAAAAAAGCACGGTCAGTGCGGGTCAGGGGCTTCCCAGGGTGTGAAAACTGGGTTCTTAGAAGGATGTGGATAGGCATGAAGTATGCAGGTGTGACCTTGGTGAACTTCCTTCCTACTTGTTTCTTACTCTGCTCTGAGCCTTACAGGAGCAATTCTTCCTATGGTCCTGTTGAGGGACTGATTCTATCTCCCCTGCCCTGCCCGTTTTGAGGGAAAACTTGTTTTGTTACACTCCCTGAATAACAAACAGGGGTCATTTCCTGCGGGAGTGCACAGGAGCGGAGCTCCGGCAGTAAGGTGCTCAGGGGGCGGGCACATGCAACAAGTCCCGCCCCCTGCTCCCAGCAGCCCTCAGTCGGGCCACGGGGAGCAAAGCTAACAATCCAAACCAGTCCAGAGGCACCTTTAAGACCAAGTTTTATTCAAGTACAAGCTCTCCCTCCTCTGCAAGGGCAGATCTGCACGTCTCCCCCCCCCCCAATAGCTAGCAATCCAAAACAATCCAGTGGCGCCTGAGCAGTGGGTGTTGCCTTCTGACACACTTCCGGTGATGTCAGGGTGTGTGGCATATGCAAATCTTATGCTAATGAGCTCCTGCACCTCTTTTTCTACGAAATTACCCCTGAACAAGCAACCAAATGTTTTTGGAACATGCCATCTTGTGTGCAAAGTGTGATTAAAAGAGCACAGTTCAGCATTTTCAGAGTATCGCTTTCTTGCTTCTCTCTCATGCTTATCTGGAATTCAGGACAGGTTGGAGGTTAGGATCCTGACTGGGCAAGCCCGAGCTCTGGTTTTAGACACCAAGCGTACACTTACTAGTTACTATGGCTGCGATGGCTCAGTGGTTAAGGTGCTGAACTGCAGACCAGGAGGTCGGTAGCTCAGCAGTTCGAGACCCGAGTGTGCCGCATGACGGAGTGAGTTCCCGTCTCTGGCCCCAGCTCCTGCCAACCTAGCAGTTCGAAAGCAAGAAATTGCAAGTAGATAAATAGATACCACTTCGGTGGGAAGGTAACAGCGTTCTGTGCACCTCGGCGTCTAGTCATGCCGGCCACATGGCCACGGGAACGTCTTTGGACAGCACTGGCTCTTCGGCTTGGAAACGGAGATGAGCACCGCACCGCTAGAGTCGGATTCGACTGGCTTTCGAGCAAGGGAAACCTTTACCTTTATGAATTATTGCTTTTATTC